TCTCTCCGGTCCCCTTATAATCTATTTTATAAATTAAATGTTTAATACTGTAAATCCAAACTGATTTTATAATCTATATTTATAAATTAAATGTTTATAATACTGTAAATCCAAAACTGATTCAACCAATAATATTAGATATAAGACTTTCCTTCCCTAACTTACATGTTCTGGAAATACTTCATAATACAATTTAAACATTAATATTTCGTTGTTAAAGTCTATTGATTAATAAATAAATGACGATAATAATATGGGAAGTAATGCCATACACTGCGAATATTTATCCAGGAGATACATACACACACACTACAGAGAAAGAAGAGAACCTGAGATTCTTTAAAAATTAAGGTTATTGATTTACCACCATTTTATAGTCCCGTTACTGAACACAAGGTTATTTTAATTTGGAAGAGATCGCAGCAACCGCTTCATTCAACAGGCCAGTTGTTCGCGAACATTTAGGGCACCAAGATTTAGATTAGTACTTTCCTAGACATAAATATTAATAATAAATAACAAAGAATAAGGCGGGATAAAATCAATTCGCCGTGAACACTTTATTAGCGTTGAACAGTTTGAAAGAACGAGGTCGCCATTCAAAGATCAACGAAGAAAATAACTATATTAGCAAAATGTAATTAAACAGTTGTACGCAGATCTATAAATGAAATTCCGAAATCGAAAAAATAGTACGTACTTCGAACAACTGCGCCATCTAAAAAGAAAAGAGAAAAAAGAAAATTCGGGAAAAATAATTATCTTTGTTACCTTTGACTAACAGCAAATAACTATCACACGGCTATGAATTCATCTTGAAATGGCGGGAGAGTGACCCTTGGCTGTTAACTAGTGAAAGAGTGATAATGTTTAGACAGTTTGCATAACCGAGAGATGAGAAGAGAAGAGAGAAGAGAGAGAGAGAGAGAGAGAGAGAGAGAGAGAGAGAGAGAGAGAGAGAGAGAGAGAGAGAGAGAGGAGAGAGAGAGAGAGAGAGAGAGAGAGAGAGGAAGAGAGGATTTGTTTTAAAACAATGTATGTTTTAAAACGATGTATTTTTTTCAACGGATGTATGTATAAATGCACTACTGTTATTTGCTGAATAAATGTAGCATATTCCGGTTACCAAAACATTAAAGCACAAACGATTACCTTTCTAAGACAATTAGATAATGCAGAATATTCATGTAGTTTGATCTAACTAACCAAATAACTGAAGGAATTTTTAACGCACGATTGATAATGAGATAATTTTGTTAGCGATTTGGAGCTAAAATTGGTATCTAAGGCCTTAACAGTATGTAATCTTAGATAATAGGTCTAATAAAATTTCTGTGGTTGTTCAACTGTAATTAAGAGAATTAAAAGGTAAAAGAGATATGTAGCCAAATTCTTATCCTGTTTTGATTAAGAAAACATTTACAACAAGTGACCAGACAAGTAATGGTGATAGTAATAAAGATGATGATGTAGATTGTGATGGCGAGGATGATATCAATGGAGGTGATGTAATAATGTTATCGGTAATTGTGCTACAAAGTATTAACGACTGTGCTTGCAACTACAAAATGAAAGTATGAATTTATTTTTCACTAGTCACCCCTCTAAAGAAACCATTTTCTGTTTGGACGGATAATTCCGTTTTCTTCTACTGACGATTTAATTCCACATATAACTGATTGATTTCTGCCATTTGTAGTGTTGAATGCTTTCTCTAGATTCCATTATGTTTTTTACGTTAATTCATCTTTAGCGTATTTAATTTATCCCTCTATGATCCTGCGTTGAAGAAATACCCACGTGGAAGTTTGAAATTCATTAAAAAAAACTACTAGAGTGGGATCTGTATCATAGCAAGCAGATAATACAGCAACTAGTCCTTTAAAGGTATGATTATATAGGTTCCTGACCCTAAGAAATAAATATAAGTAATAAGGGTGTTGACGGCATGGTATTTTTTTCATTGAAGACATGACTTAAGATTCAGAATCATGTAGTCTGCAAATTGTGTAAATCTTGTTTCATTGAGTTAGCTACCCTACCCCCTCACTCCCCATTCCATCCCAAATATTTTTTATTTATTTAATTTATCATCATCAATCATCAATCATCATCATCATCATCATCATCATCATTATCATTCATCACATCACCATCAATCACCATCATCATCATTATCATCATCATCATCATTATCATTGTTATCATTATTTTTTTATTATTGTATTACTACTATTATTATTATTAATTAATTTATTTATTTATTTTTACTGGGTGTACAATTTGTAAAATGCACTTTATTTCCCTCCAAATATAAGATACAACTGTAAACCATCCTATTTTGATATAATATCCTTGCTCACCACTTGCTGAACCTTCATACCTTGCAGGATTTTTTTTTTTTTTTTTTTTTTTTTTTTTTTTAGATCAGAAAATCTCTCTCACTTGTATTTTGACAGGAGAGATCTTGGACAGTCACATACACACGTCTTCACAAATT